TACACACTCATTTGGGTGTGGAAATCTGTCTTACCCTATAGGAAAATAGGGGGAGAAGGGGACAAGAGAGTAGGGGAATGTGGGAAAGGGAGTAATCAGAAGCAAATACTTCTGAGGAGGGACAGGGTCAAAAGAAAGAATAGAATAAATGGGTGGATGGGATAGGATCAAGGGAAATAGAGTTAGTTTTTCACAGCATGTCTACTATGGAAGTGTTTTGCATAACTGCACATATATAACCTATATTTAGTTGCTTGCCTTATCAATGAGGGTGGGTGGGGAGGGAGGAAGGGAGAAAATTTGGAACCCAAAATTTTAAAAACACATGCTTAAAAAAAGTGTTTTCACACACAATTGGGAAATAAGAAATATAGGAAATGGGATACAGAAATCCATCCTGCCCTTCAGGCAAATTGAAGGGGAAGGGGATAAGAGGAGGGGAGAGATAGAAAGGAAGGCAGACTAGGGGAAGGGGTATTTAGAATGCATGCCATCTTGGAGTGGGGGGAGGGGTGAGATGGGGTGAAAATTTGGAACTCAAAATCTTATGGAAGTAAATGTTGAAAACAAAAAATAAATAAATTTTAAAAAAAGAAAAAAGGAGGAGAATTGTTTTATTTGTGAGCTATTGGAAATATTGTTTTGTGTTTTCTACGTGTGGTTGAATGCACTCATTACATCTTATACATTTTGGGGAGAGAAAAAGGCTATTCTCCACCATATATTATGGATACATTGAGTGCTTACATTGGAGTCAGGGGACGTATTACTAAAATTTGGGGACAACTTAAACATGAGTTCTATTTAAATTACATTGGAAGATTTCACAGAGTTAACTCTAGATAAATGCAAAAACGACCCAAGAAAGAGAACTATAAATGGAGTATTTGCCCAGAATGAATCTCTGTTCTCTATGATCTGTTCTGCCTCAAACATGCTCTTCCTGATTCCTTAAGAACAGACCTCATTTCTTGTACACACACACACACACACACACACACACACACACATATACATATACACACACACGCATATATATATATATATATATACACACACACATATACATATACATGTATATATGTGTGTGTCAGTGTGTCTGTGTCTGCAATATGTTGAACAAGAAGTCAACTAGCCATTCCCTCAAGACTTGAAGTGAGGGGAAATTCAGTACCTGTTAAGGCAGCCCCTCCTACTTTTGCATAGCAACATTTTTAGAATCTTTTCCTTAAATCAAACCTAAGTGCATTTCTTCTTAACTTCTATCCTCTTTTCCTAGGTATTCCCTTTGGTACAACTAAAATCAACCACATTCTTCCACCATATGTCAGTCCTACAGACACCTGAAGATTCCTAATCCCAACCCCTGCTCTAATACCCATCTTTTATCTTTTTTATCCCAAATGTCCTCAGTTCCTTCCATCAATCCCAATATCACAAGATTTCAAAGTCCTTCTCCATGCTGGTTGAACTCCTCTGGAAAAGTCTCTATCCTATCAATGTCCTTCTTAAAGTGTGGAACCCATGACTGAACATGTTGCTCCAAATGTAGACTAGAGAGAACACTCCGGATGTCTGGACATTGTGCCCCTCCATTCAGTGTAAGACCAGATTAATTTTCTTGTTTGCCATGTAAGTCACAAAGTTGTTGTGAGGACCAAATGATTCAATATATTTAAATACACTACAAATTTTAAAGAAGCAACTCTGGTAGAGGGAATAAAACATTGGAATTGGAGTCAGGAAGTGCTGAGTTCAAATGAAGTCACAGACACTTAAGGAATTGCCTTGGACAAATCAGTCAGCCCCTCAGTTTCCTCAGCTTTAAAATGAAGATAATAACAGCACCTTCTTCACAGGGTTATTGTGAGAGTAAAATAAGATAATATTTTTGAATTGTAGCACAGTGTCTGGCACTTAATAGATGATATATAAATGCTTCTTCCCTTATTTCCATTACTATAGGTTCTAGTTCTCAGCATCTCTGTTATCAACTCTTAGTTTTTCTGTCTTTCTCAATCCAAAGATCATTCTCTTTGTCAGAGAAAATAGAAACAAAATACAAACTGAGCAGCTCTGCCTTTGCTTGGTATTCATTGTACTTGTCTCATCAGTCTTGAGAATCAGTCCGGTTCCTGATTTGATTATTCTTTGTTTCCCCAAAAGCCTGGTTTTTCAATAAAACTACTCATATTTTTATAGTCTTTACCTACAAAAGTAGCTAATCTAGGCTTCTCTCAGTTCAAACTAAGTCCTGGAACTTCTCTGACTCTGTAACTATAAGATAGGATCTCCTATTGCATTCATCCTTGGTTACCTCAATGTTTTTTTCATTTCTGCAAATTTATTTTTCATATGTAAGTCTGCATAATTGTAAATTTGTTTTCTTGCATCTTCAAAATTTCACTCTTGAGATCTTTCTATCCCTTCAAGTTTGAAATTCCTATAGAATTAATCAAAAAGATGCTGCTTTATTCTTCCTCTGAAATGCCTGGAATTTATTCTCTCCAAGCAAAACGTGCATTTGTGACAACTGCTAGTTTTCCTTTCTTTGTCTATCTTAAACTTTAGGATAATTTAATTACTTTTCCCTTACTCTTGTAATATTCCCAGTTTTTTTTTGATTTTACCTAATAATTCCTCATGCTTTATAAGAATCAAATGAGGATGGAATTTTCTCATATTTATTCCTTCATTTTGCACTTTTGATGTATTAAAAATTATTTTCATCAAGAAATTAATAGCTCTTCTTTGAGTAGAGGGGCAGATAGAAAGAGGGAGAGAAAGAGAGAGACAGAGACAGAGAGAGACAGAGAGAGAAATATGTAGAGATGCAGAGATACTGAGAGACCAAGACAGAAAAAGACATTGAGAGACAAAGAGAAAGAATAAGAGAGAACATTCTGACAGATGCCCAGATGACTGTAGACTCCCATCAGTAATATACTGAAAACAATATAAATGCTTTCCACCAAATTTTCCAACTGTGGTTCCTGGATTTCTTTATATCAGTATATTTTCTAACTTTAAAAATATTATTATGGCCTGTTGTAACCTATCTTATTTCATTCAAATAAGGGGAAAATCTTTCCAGAACCAAATTCCAATTGTGAGTCCTATCCTTCAAGTCTAAATGATACCTTGGCAACCAGATTTGTTTTCATGTATTAGAGATTCTAATTCATCTTACCTGTGAGGAATAATTCCTTGGGAATCCCAATGTTCTACTAGAGCTACATCACTTATCTTTCTTCCTCTTTAACCAGCTCTTCTCTTTTTCTACTGTTTCATGCTTTTTGGCAGGTTTTGATAGAGGTGGCTCCTGGTCACATATGAGTTGAAGTAGATGATCTCTGAGAGGAAACATATAGGCTTGAAATCATATATATATGTATATATGTATATATACATGTTTGTGTATATATATACACATATATGTATATGTAACACATATATGCATATATATGTATGTATGTATGTACCTATATAGGTGTATATACATACATAGGTATGTGTATATATATGTATTTAGTTAATATATATATATTCATATATATAGTATTTACACATGCATATATACAAATTGTTAGACATAACATGTGGCAGCCTATTCATAACTTCTATAAAAACCTGTAGTAACTCATGGCGGGAGAGATGAAACGAAGTAGTCTAAGACTGAGTGATGCACAACTGTGGCAGGTACTCCCAAATTGTAAAGGCTTAAAGTGGTGCCTGGGAATTGCCTACGAAGTTCTCTGATGCCTAAAGGCCAACTTAGCTTAGTTCAGACGTTGAAGGTTACCACTGGCCAAGCTGTGACTAAATAGATATTATAAGGGTCTACTACGTGTCCAGTACTGTGTTAAGCACTGAAAATGCAAAGAAAGGTAAAATATAGTCACTGCCATCAAAGACTGCATAAAGACCATGCAAATAATGTGTAAATATCAGTTTACAAATACCATATATAGCCAGGATAGTCAGGATATGTTACAGAAAATGAAAAGAGGGAAGGCACCAATATTGAGATCAATGGATCAAGAAAGGCTTCTTGTAGGTGAGATTTTATCACAAACTTGAAAAAAAAATAACCCCAAAATTAATGATTTCAAAAAACCATACATTGAATGAAAGGCCAAACATCCCTGTCTCTGGCCACCTTCTATTTCCAAAATGGCAATGGTGGAGAATAGAAAAAGAGACAGGCTGTGGGATGGAATCAAATTTAGAAATCATACATTTATTGTTAAATGATCCACCAGTGATCTTCCACACAGATGATTCCCAAAACTAAGCAACTGGTGTTCATTGACAGCTATTCCTATTCAGAAACAGGTGACTTAAATTCATTGCTCCAACCTTAAAGCCACAATGATTCAAGGACTAAGTGGGATTGCTGTGAACTCTTGACTAACTTTCTCTGATCCTCTCCTACCTTCTGGCAGTTTTTTCAACTTTTCTCTTATTTGATATTTCCTTCAAGTCTTTTCTTTCTCTTTTCTCTCTTATTTATCATAGTGAAGCACTTTAGTAAGAAAAGATATAGTTCTCCAACCCTGACCAACATTAATCCCCCCTCTTATGCTTATTTTTGACAAAGAATAAGTCACTTCCCTTTCCTGAAGTTGGAAATGTCATGCTGGAGATTGAGAAATTCAGAGTAGATTTTAAAAAGTGAGAAGTAATACATGAGTGACTCTCTCTCTCTATTAGAAAGTGGATGAGAGGATTCTGCGAACCTAGAATAACAGCTATGACAAGTACGTAGATGTCTTTGTTTCCTTAATTGTTTATTTCTAGCCCTCACATAAGATAAGTCTCTGACTATGTTTTATGACTTGGAGTCATTCATCATGCAAAGTGGATTTTTCTGATAGTTACTTTTTTGTTGTAGGTGTAAGGCATCACTGTCAATTGACATCCATGGAGAACAGATCTGAAGTGAATGAGTTCATCCTCATAGGACTAACAGATGATCCAGAGCTTCGGGTTCCTCTCTAATGTTCACCCTCATCTACCTCACTACCCTGGGATGGAACCTGGGAATAATAGCTCTGATCTCCTGGGATTCCTGCGTCCATACTCCCATGCATATTTTCCTCAGTAATCTCTCTCTGGTGGATTTTGGCTACTCCTCAGCTATTACCCCCAATGTGATGACTGGGCTCCTCATAGGCAACAAGGTCATCTCCTACAATGGATGTGCTACACAGTTGTTCTTCTTTGTAGCCCTTGCTACTATAGAAAATTTCCCCTTAGCCTCCATGGCTTATGAACATCATGCAGCTGTGTGCGAGCCCCTACATTATAGCACTACCATAACTTCAACAATATGTGCCTATCTGGTCAGTGGTGCTTGCATCTGTGGCTTTCTGACCTCCTCCATAGGAAACATGTTTAGCTTTTCATTTTGTAGGTCCAACATAGTCCATCACTTTTTCTATGATATTTCCCCTCTCCTCGTTCTCTCTTGCTCTGATATTCATATCACTGAGTCAGAATTCTTTATATTAGGGTCACTCAATGCCTTTTTTCCATTTCTTGTCATCTTTACTTCTTACTTTTTAATCTTCATCACCATCCTGAAGATTCATTCTGTTAAAGGCCACCAGAAAGCCTTCTCTACTTCTGCTATTCATCTCACAGCAGTGTCCATATTTTATGGGACAATCATCTTCATGTACTTCCAACCCAGCTCAAGCCATTCCATGGACATAGACAAAATGGTGTCAGTGTTCTACCCATGGTCATCCCCATGTTGAACCCTCTGGTCTATAATCTTAGGAACAAAGATGTCAAGAATGCTTTAAGGAAAGCTGTGAGGGGACAATGACTTCAACTGAATCATCTTTTTTTTTCGTAGAAAGAAAATCCAATTTGTACCTTCCTCACTCTGGGATCCAGACCCCAAGTCAGGTTACTTTTCTTATGCACAGAGAAGGGGAATCTAAACTTTTAAAAAGGCAATATTTGTTAGTAGATAGTTTCATAGATTTGGAGTGAGGAGAGAACTGAATTTATATTGTCTTAGATACTTTCCGATTGGATTGGAACTCAGATCTTCTTGACTGCAGGCCCAGTGCTCAATCCACTGCAGCACCTAGCTGTCTCCTTTCAGAGAATACCTAAATATTTCCTTCAGTTGTGGTTGTCACATCATAGAAAATACATTGACACCAGGATCATGCAAAAGTGAGATTTTCTGGAGATTATTCGTTATAAGGAATAATTAAGGAGTGAGTATATTTATCTTAGTGAATGAAAATTTCAGTGTGGCTGGGTGAAGTATTTGAAGATATGTCTCATAGAAGAGATATTAGTCACATTCTGCTGGGCTGTAGCAGGCAGAACAGGGGGGAATGGCTGGAATGTTCAGAGGTATATTTTGACTTTAAGCAAGGAAAAGTTTTTCTAACAAATGGAACACTTCATAATTGGCAGCCTACCTTGAATAATCTTTCGCTGTAGGTCTTCCTACACTCTAGGGTTATCCATTTATTGGGTGTTCTATAGAAAATATTCATTTTCAGACATGGATTAGATTTAATGATATGTGAGAGCCCTCTGATTCTAAGATTCTCTGATTCTCTCCCTCAAAAGAATTCCTCCTGTAGGGTAGTTAGGTGGTACAGTGGATAGAGCACCATCCTTGGACTTAGGGGGACCTGAGTGAAAATCCAGTATCAGACCCTTACTAGCTGTGTGACCCTGGACACGTCACTTAACCCTGATTGCTTCTACCCTATTCCCCACCAAAAAATAATTCCCTCTGGATCTTTGGTGCCTGGCCTGGTGTTCACATGATATCACTGTTTCCAGATACTTGTAACCTTATTGGGACATATCAAAAATGTACCTCCTGCTATATCTGTTTAAATCCTAACACACCATCATGAAGGTATATGGGAACACATGAAAAAATGCTGCACTCTAATCTTAGCTAACTTTCTTTGACATGAGTCATCTGAAAATATGATAAACCTGAAACCTTTAGCCATGTTATTGATGGTTTGATTCAATTCAATTTGATCAACGTGCATTTGGTACTTACTAAAAAGTGGCAGAGCAAGGGTTCCAAACCTGTGTCTTCTCTTTGAAGTCCAATACTTTTTCCTACATCACACTACACCTTTCATGTCTAAGGATACACTGATCCTCACAACATGGCTTCAAGAGAGACAGAGCTGGGATTTTTATGCTTATCTTACAGATGAATAGATTAAAACTTGGAAAAGATCAGTGTCTTTCCTGAGGCCTCACAATGAGGAAAAGCCATGACTAGAAACTAGGCCTTGACTGCCCCATCGAAGGCTGTTTCTATTCCTCCTAACAATGAAGTAGCTTAACAAAGGAACACAGTCAAGAAAATAACCTCTTGGAGGACTCCAGTTTGTTCCCCATGCTCAGAGCAGAGTTTAATGGCATGTTTTCTATATGACAACTCTAGGGCAGCCAGTTATGTCCAAGGGAACATAGTCTCTTAAGAGTTACTGTGCTCCAAGGTTTGTGTAAAGATCCTGCTTAACTTCAGACTTCAGCTATTGACTTCCAAGTATTTCACTACTAGAGCTCATTGTCATGGGACCAATCTGGAGACAGCAGTCCCTGGAGTCGCTCCCTCATTCATCTGCTTTCCATTGTTCATCCTGAGACTGAGGAGGAAGGAAGGTATCTAACTCTATCTCCATGCTGGCAGCAGCAATGGCCATGTATGACCTCTCCTGATTTAAGGCCTTTGGAATAGCTAGCAGCAAGGACTAGGGAAGAGTTTCTTTTGAAGCATTGAGTACATGCTAAAGTTGGGACTTAACACCCAAGATACTCATGTGAAGGTGCTTGGCCAACTCTTCCCTTTGCTGTACCATCCACCTATGCCAGTAGGTTCTGGGAAGTGTAATGTAAGGCCAAGGGGATCATTTAGAGAGCAGCAGGGCAGAGTGGGAAAAGGGATGGACCTGTGGTCAGAAAGATCTGGATAAAAACCTTGCCTGAACAAGTTGTGGTATATGATTGTGGTGGAAAGCTATGGTGCTATAAGAAATGATGAGTTCAATGATCTTAGAAAAGCATGAAAAGACTTACACAAAATAATGAAGAGTGAAATAAATACAACCAGGAGAAAATTGTATACAGTAGTAACAATATTGTTTTAAGAATGACTTTTGGCAGGCTCTGTTGGAGATAACTCCTGGTCAGATATGAGCTGAGGTAGGTGATCTTTGAGGAAATATACTGACTTAAGATTTTTTGATTCTGTTTCCTGTTATTTTTTTTTCAAGATACAACTCATTATAGATAAAATGTGGCAGCCCACTTTTAACTTCAATGAAAACTTTCTTCCAATGTCTAATGGTTGTAGAGATGAAACTAAGTATTCTAAGACTAAGATATTGAAACATAACTGTGGAAGGTGCTTCCAAGATGTAAAGGCTTATGGTGGAGTCTGGGGAGGGACTATGTATTTATCTGATACCCAAAGGCCATTTTGGCTTAGCTTAGACAGAGAGGGTTACAACTGGTCAATCGAGGAGTCAATAAATATTTATTAACTACTACATTTCCAGCACCATGTTAAGCACTGAGAATACAAAGAAAGGTAAAATAGAGTCTCTGCCCTCAAGGTGCTTACTATCGCTAGAAAACATTCAAGTAACCATGTACAAACAAACTGTATCAAGGATAAATGGAGGAAATCAAAAGGAGAAAGGAACTGGAATTGAAGTGGATCAGGAAAGACATCCTGTGGGTAGGATTTTAGCTCAAACTTGAAGGAGGCCAAATCAGAGATTGGTGACTTCTGGGACCCAGAAAACTTTAGCAAATAAAAAGATGAAATGCCACTGTTTGTGGCCACCGCCTGCTTCCACAGTGGCAGGGGTAGAGAACTGAGAAAGGGACAGACAGTTTAAGGGGAACAGATTCAGAAGTCATACATATATGCTATGTGACCCACCAGTGGCCTTTTTGACAGACTCCCACTACTAGGCAACTGGTATCCACTGTTCCTCTTCAGGAACTGGTGACTTCGATCCATTGTATAGACCTTACAGCCACATTGATTTACCGACCAAGCAGGATTCCAGTGAAAAATCAGCCAATTTTTTTTATCTCCTCCATTTGTCAGTCTTTTAACTTATCTCTTATTTGGTTTCTCCCTCTTCTCCTTTATTTCACTGTTCTCTCTTCTTCATCCAAGTTGGACGTATTCACCCCCTTCTTATCCTGATTTTTACCAGGGAATAAGACATTTACCATTCTTAAAGTTGGAGATACCACTTTGGAAATTAAGTGTGTAATACGGAAAAGTGTGTAAAATGGAAAAAAGGCTAGAAGCAATAGATGAGGAACTCTCTATCGTTGTGAGAAACTGGATCAATAAATTTTGGGGACATAGAGATATTGCATGACAAATACTTGGATGCTCTTGGTCCCTTAATTCCTCATTTCTGCCCTTCACATAATATATGTCTCTAATGATGTTTTGAGTATTGGACTCATTCATCATACATAACGGATTTTTCTAATGGTTCCTCTTTGGTGGCAGGTGAATGACAACACTCTCAAATGACATCCATGGAGAACAGATCCGATGTGAGTGAGTTATTCTCATAGGATTAACAGATGTTCCAGAGCTTCCAGTTCCTCTTTTCATAATGTTCACCTTCATCTACCTTACCATTCTGGTAGGGAACCTGGGGATAGTAGCTCTGATCTCCTGGGATTCCTGCCTCCACACCCCCATGTACTTTGCCCTCAGTAACCTCTCTCTGGTGAATTTTGGCTACTCCTCAGCTGTTACCCTTAAGGTGATGGCTGGGCTCCTCACAGGGGACAAAGTCATCTCCTATAGTGGATGTGCAACCTAATTGTTCTTCTTTGGAGTCTTGGTTACTACAGAAAGTTTCCTCTTAGCCTCCATGGCCTATGCTCATCATGCAGCTGCATGTAAGCCCTTACATTATACCACTACCATGACTTCAACAATATATACATATCTGGCCAGTATTGCTTACATCTGTGACTTCCTGACCTCCTCCATAGTCATAGGAAACACTTTTAGCCTTTCCTTCTGCAAGTCTAATATAATCCATCACTTTTTCTGTGATATTACCCCTCTCCTAGTTCTCTTTTGCTCTGATATTCACATCACTGAGTCGCTAGTCTTGATCATAGGATCATTTGCTTTTTCACCTTTCTTGTCATCTTTACCTCTTACTTGCTAATCTTCATCACCATCCTGAAGATCCATTCTACTGAAGGCTGCCAGAAATCCTCCTCCACCTGTGCTTCCCATCTCACAGCAGTGTCTATATTTTTTAGGACAATCATCCTCATGTACTTCCAACCTAGTTCAAGCCATTTGATAGACTCAGACACAATTGTGTCAGTGTTCTATACCATAGTCATCCCCATGTTGAACCCTCTGGTCTATGGTCTGAGGAACAAAGAGGTCAAGAATGCTTTGATGAAGGCTGTGAGAGGAAGACAACCTCTCATCCCTTTTCCTAGAGAGAAAATTCAATCTGCTCTTTACCCACTCTGGGATTCAGTCTTCCAGTCAGGATATTCTTCTTACATACACAGAAGTGTAAAATAAACTTTTCCAGAGGCAACATAATGTAATAGAAAGTGTCATAGATTGGAATTAAGAGAGAGCTGAATTTAAATTCTGTCTTGATCATTTTCATGTTTTGTAACCTTAGGTAAGTCACTGTAAAGTCTCAACCTCAATTTCTTTGTATATGAAGGGTCTTAATAGTTC